GTTTACCATTGTTTCCAGTTTTTTGATTCTGCAACAAAAATAACTGGACCAATTTTGCAAAAAACCTTATCAGTTCTAAGTTGCGTAATTACGCGTCAAATGCAGTTGGTTCCACGTCGATATCATCTTTTGTTCTCGAGATAATCAAGGCGAAAAATAATTTTAAACGTACACACACACACACACACACACAGATGTCCACTGAAAAGCGGTCGTATTCGACTCTGGGGACCTTAAAACGTGAATATATGTCAAAATTCGGGATTCGCAAAATCGGACCTGTTACTATAACTTGCCAATGGGAAGTTAATAATGATAAATCTTTTTTTAATCCTCTTAAAATAATTTTTGGACAATCTAACCATACTTTTTCAAGAAAAATTAAATGTTGGAATCATACCAAAAACAGCCCCACGGACTGTACAAAGCTGTGCGCCAAGTTTAAATGACGAGGACGATAATCTGTGTTCTTAAAATGCTATTATCGTAAATGTACATTATTTAAGAATTACAAAAAAGCGTGATTTTAGAAGAGAATTACAAAAATGACTTAAAAATCATTTTTGATACTTAGAAAAAAAGGTACGTTAAAATGCATATGAAAAAGTAAAAATACATTGTGTTAAAAATTAAAAAACATAAAAAAAACACATCAAAATAGATTTAGTAATTTTAATTGTAATATTTTGAAACTTGAAAAACTTGGCGTGGCTATTACGACGCGTCAGTAACGGTAAGGCTACAGAAACGACAACGACGTGAATAAAGTTATCAATAATAAATATTAATTACAATTATTTTCTTCAATAAAAAAAAAAAAATGCTGAATTAATTATGAACAGACATAAAAAAACGATTAATTCTTGACAAATCGTTAAAAGAAGGAAATTGTAAAATTTCATTATTTTTGCTCTATCTCTTACCGTTCTCGAGATATGAACGTATGTTTATAAAAAAGTCATTGATTATATATAAATAACCAAAGACTGATGTTATTTTCATTCATCATTTAATCATGTTATCGAATAATTGAACAATTAATTGATACTTATAAGGACATACTATTATTTATCATTGTCAGTATTATCACATAATGATATTTAATTTATTTCATAATTAGCGCCTCAATAATCTGTACATTTTGTTTACCAACTTAATTTTTCAACTATACTGTAGCAACCTCACAATGGTGCCAACTTTATAAAAAAAATCGTATATTCAAGAAAAATAAATCTGTATTTTCTTAAATCTTGTATATGGGGGTGTGGCCAATTAATCATTATTTAAAATAATTAATTTTGAAAGACAATAGCATACTTAATCTATTCCTGAAGTAAATTAATGCGGTTTTCTGAAGTTTTTATGGCATGTTTAAGTCATTATAATAAAGATATCGCAATTTTAAAGTGTATTACCTCAACAGACTGTGATTCAAGCAGAATAGAGACACGGTAGTGCCTTCGTCACCGTCATTTAAACTTGGCGCACGAGACACTACTAAAGTAAACGTGTCTCCTGATTGTAGACAAAAAGGTCACACAAAAAGAGATTGTAAAGAAAATTTAAAAGTCGCTTAAAAGTTGTTTATTTGTATAGACTCGCTTCTTATGAATTTATAAATTTTTGACTCTTGTTCAGAATTCTTAATTTTTGTAGAATTCTGGGTTAGAAACTGCCAGTCTGAGAACGTTGGTCTTTCATTGTTCATTTGATTGTGGATTTAAAATCACTATGTCTGTTCTGAAACGTCCCCGTGAAGTTACTGAGGATATAATGTTGGTATCAAGTATACAATTCAGCTCTTTTTCACTGATGGGCAGAGTGAAATCTAGTAAGTTACTTGATGTCCATGATATCCAGTTTAGTTCATATAGTATGGAAAGGCTATTGAACTGGTTTTGAAACTCGTTGCGCAAGGTGTGATTATTTGAGAATATTTTAATTTTTAAGAATCAGGTTTAATTTTCCTGAAATTATTTGCTTAAGCCACTGACTTGTCTCTGTTGTTTTGGCGTTTCCAACTCTTTTGAATTTTCGAGAGATTCCTTCCAGAGGTTTCATTCCATTTCATTGGAACAAGGGAAGAAAGGAAAGAAGATTCATGAAAATAATTATTTATTATGAAAGACAGATTTGTGGTTTTGAAAATAATTTTGAATTGTATAGAGTCACGAAATTGATTTCCTAGGCTGAATTATCGTTTCATTTTTCTAGTAGATAATGAATGATTACGTTTCAATGAATTTTAGATTCAGAATGTTTTTTCATTTCAGCGGAATTCAATATTTTACTCAACTTTCAGAAATTGCCAGGAGGCAGTTTTAGAAGATTGGAAGAAGTGTAAAATAAATATATGTCCCCATCTATACATAATTTGACAAATGACTAAATTTGTTGTTAGAAACGCTTAACCGATATATTTATGTTTAGTTTCTGACTTAGATTTGAGCTGACCGGACGTTTTTTCTGTCTTCAAGATCTTGCAGTTGATTTAATAAACGATTTCATTCTTTTGTAATTTTTATTGGAGTTATTATTTTATCATATTTTACAATATATATATATATATATCAATCCGCCTATATATCTTTATCGCCTCCGCGTTTTGGAGTAAAATTATTTCATTTTTTTTAAAAAAATGAATCTACTTTTTTCGAAAAAAAGTAGGTATCATAAACTTTAAATTGTGTGCTGTCCGATGCGGCCGCATCGTTTAAGAAAAAAAAATCACCCTTCAAGTACAGTGTACCAAGTTACAGAAATTTGGTTAGGTGAGGTTAAACATGGAAAAACATAATTGCCTCCGTTTCAGAGGCAACTACGTCGCCAAATGAGTTCAGAGCGTCGTTTCAATAGGTTGATACGGAGGCAACAGAGGCATATAGGCGTATTTATATATGTATATATATATATATATATTGTGACGTTATTTTTCGATAACGTCCCATTGTCAGCTTTAGAATTGTCTTATTAAAAATTTAAGGCTGATAATAGCCAAGTTGGAGTGTTCCAGTCATGATTTAAAAAGTAAAACTATTTATCTGAAGCTCATTCGAGCAATTACCTTGACTTTTATAGTCCAATTGTGCATATTTTCAAGTGTTTTATTTATCATAATATTTTTCCTTACGCCAATGTATTTAATTAATTCATTATTTTATTAATTTTATTCAACGTCATGAGTCATTGTAATTATGTAAATTTATTTCTGCGTATTTTAAGCAAAATTATAATCTTCATTCGTATTTTGTGGCGTAGGATAGTTATTTATAAGTTCTTATTGATACGTATTGATTTATTAATTTATTAATTATAAGTAATGTAAACCAAGGCTAAGGGATTCATTTAGTAATTAAATTTAGTGGATCAAGTCTCAATAACCTAAGTAAAGCAGAGTTGAGATAAACAAGTAAATCTGTCAACCACAGGGACTGTTGGGAGGAGAGTTGGGAGGCTATAGTGGAGCAGAGGACCAAAAGCAACATGTCACCCTGCAGTTTTCCTATGCTGGGAGACGTCCTAGCCCTAAAGGTTGTAGTCACGAGGCTGTTGCCAGTAAAATGGGACTCCAAGAAGAAGATGGAAGTATGGAAGATATCGTTTTTGAGTTTAGATATTAAGTTTTGGAATTAGGATTAAGTTGATGCACATTAGTTTTAAGTGACCCCTCCATATGAAAATCTGGGAGAAGTCACGTGAAGATAACCACCAATAGAAAATGTGATTTGACAAACTGAAGACGTTTTGGAGTAGTGGGAGTTTTTGAAAAAATTTTGGAGAGTCGATTGCGGACTGAGCTCCTAGTGAGTCGATGGCAAGTTGTGCCCATGGAGAGTCAAGTATTACCATCTTGTTGGGAGAGAAGAGCAGAGAAGACTCCAGTAAGCAGAATGAAGATCAGAAAGGATTTTCAATTCAAATTGAAGGACGTCCAAGACCACCAGGACCGAGTTTGACAAAAGCTACAGTATCGAAAGCTCTCTGCAGAATTTGTGGGATTTATAATTCCATTTATATACACGCCTTGTTAATACAATCAATAACAACTTTTGAATGTGTACTACTATGCAATTTTCATATAGAATAATATCCATTTGATATTATGGAACAAGATTGACGATAAGTTTGTAAAACCCTGAAACTGTCTTGAAAGGAGTTATCTCTAGGGATCTATTTCACCCTCAAGAAGTTCATATCTCACTCAATTCGATCTAAAATAACGTATATTAGCTGTAAACAAATCGAAGATCATACGTCAGAATACCTTTCTTATATGTCGAAAACAGGTTTCAATTCTTAAAAACAATACACGATCTGCATTATGCCTAATTTTAATACCAAATACAAATTTATGAAAAGTACATTGATTTTTTATGGTTATTTGAGATAGCCGAATAGCTACGCAAGTAAAGGCACTACTTTTTAAATTACTGAAAGACAGAAAAATTCATTTATAATAGTACTTTTCTTGGAACTATCAATTGATTAAATAGTTATTCTGATCGATTGAAATGTAAAATGAATAAAATAATTTACCAATCAATATTTTTTTTATTAATTTATAAGTTTGAATCAAATGGTATTCAGCTCAAACAGCTGACACGGCACAATGTACTCATACGAATACTAATACATTTAGGTGGAACAAAATACATATATTTAAGTCGAAATCAGCTCTTGAAGAATTTTAAACCTGATTTGGACTTGAAAAAAACTCGATTTTCAATCAATTATTGCATATGTAGTTTCAAATCAGATAAAGATAATTTTTTTTTTCTGCTTTTGCCTTTTTTTAAAGTCGACATCAGATCTTATTTTTCGACCTGGGTATATAAGCGTTTAATCATCAATTTAAGGCAACTTTCTGAAAATAAATTCAGTTATCAAATATAACTTAAATCATGTTAACTGACTGGTTATTAATAAGCTTTCTCAAATTTTAGAAATTTGTCATTAAAAATTCAAAAATTATTAAAATTAAAATAAAATAAATTAATTACCTCCTCTAGAAGCCTTGTTACTGCCTCTATGTCATTATAAGTTTTTGTCATTTGGCTCACTCGATTGCTACATAAAACTGCAACAAAAATCCAAAAATTTTATTAGGAAAAATAAATAAAAAAATTTAATTAGAAAATGAAATAGGTCTGAGCACACTTTGTCTGTGCTAAAACGACGAACTTCCCATTAGTAATTGTTTATAACAAATTTGAATAGTTATAAACAATGCGTAATTGTTAAGAGTCATATCTCGTCAGAAATAACATTATTTTGTTAAAAACATCAAAATCTATGTGACATACACATTACTTTTATCAATAGATACAATTTTTAATTGTTTATAACAAATTCACATTGTTATGAATAATGTGTAATAGGTGAAAGTCATATTTGGTTATGAACAACCATATCTAATCAATATTGACTTCATTTTCGAATAAAATTATTATTCTTTCGCTTAAAAGTATTTTAAAAAGTTAATTTTTTCATTTATTTATTGTTAGTTTTTTTGTTATAAAAAAAATGCCTCGACCGAATTTGTTCAAATTTTACTCAGATCTTTTTTGTAATAATATCTTTCGAATAAATTGAGGTTGAAGTTGATATCTTAATCTGTTCTTGAGATATCGAAAACGAAAAATGCTGACGTACGTACACACACACATCATTCTAAAAATTGGTCAGTATTCTTGCAAATATCATGAAACGTGGAGATATGATGAAAATTCAACTGTCACCAATCTACCCAATTTTAATAACTTCCTAATGGGAAGTTAACAAGAATTACAGTTCAATCATTTCCCCTACTTGAAACACAAAAAATAAATATCATTCGTAAGAGAAATCTCAATACACTAAATTGTTTTATATAAATTACAAAATTTTGTTTTTATTTTACATACACATCAGAGTGTATGATTTTATTCTGGCTTATTTATGGTCAATTATACCTGATTAGATATTTCAATAAGGAATCAGTCACTTTAAAAATAATTGAATGAACAACAATTTAAAATTGAATTGGGATAGGAAATTTATAATGTAACGATTTATTGATTGTTTCTTAGTCCCTCAGTAGTCTGTTCGATACGTTTTGATCCAGAATAAAAATTACTTCCGCACCCATTATTTATTAACCTTGCATAAATTATTACCAGTAGCACTTTAATCAGCACATATTCATTAGCAGAAATGCACTAGAAATTGCCATCGTGGCATCAATTACTAATACGTAAGCACATGGAAACAGTATCACTAATAAGCATCTATTTTCTTAATGTTGCAAGATATCTTCGGTAAATATTAATAAACTTGTTGAATTGCCATGAGGTAGCAAGGAAAATTGGAGTAAGTGAGTATTGAGAACATTTGTGATGATGATTTGAACCATTGTTCGACATCAGACAAATGCTCTGTTAAGTTGAGAGTTTACAGTAACAGCATATGTTATCTACTTGAAAATTATAACCATCTAGAAAATATTTTGGATACTTGTTGGGTAAACTTGACACCTACACAGTCAGGGGTTGAGGCACCTAATCGCGGTAGCGGAATGAATTTTATTTTATTAAAAAATTTATAACGCTAAAAAAATTCGATTAAAAAAGTTATGGAATTTTTAACTAATTACTGAATCAATTTTTCGATTTTATTATTATTGTTCCATTATTAAACTTAATTAACTCTAGAGCCAAACTCGAATCTAAAACTTTTGTATAAACCTAACGCTTGCGATAACGGAGAAACTATGAGGACCCATTTACGAATTATCTATTTGTATGACAATAGTGAGTTTTTTTTTTAAATTGTACAAGCATCACCTACAGACGGAGTAAAGATCTTGCGGTAGAGGGTAGTCATTGTTACGAAGCATTTCGTTAAAGGTTTCCAATAAAATTAATTGATAATTTTTTGGCAGTCTAAACAGAACCTCGTAGTCAATTCCGTCAAAGCAAGTTAAAATTTTCTGAAGCTGAAGGGAGAGTCTAGAAAGTGTTAGTTTTACATGAAAGAAAGTAGCAAGGAACTACAGGGAGTTATTCGAATAAACTTTATTAGAAAATAAAGGCATTCATTTGAGAATGAAAATTGTAAAAATATTCATTATTGACAAATATTTAAATTTGATTCTACAGGAAGTACTATTTGGACGTTGATCGGGAAAAAATGTCAAAATTTAACAAAAAACCCTGAAAAATGACTTTATACTTTAAAAGACACTTAAAAATAAATAGATATACTTAAAATTATTAGTTATAGTTGAATATCATGAATATCAATTGAAAATATTTAATAAAATCAAATATTATTAATAACAATTCATTGTTGCTAATAATTGTTGATGGTAAATAGTCAAGCAAAAACTTGAAAATCAACATAAAAAATTAATAGATTATTAATAGTACTTTTTAAAATTCCAGTTTTCAATGAAAAATTATTTGTTCACAAAAAAGCGAATAAGAAATTATTTGTGTGGACAAGATCCAATTAAAACAATTTTTTATAATTTTAAATCGTAAGGTTTAATGTTCAAATCAAAATGGATTCATAAAAGCCAACTATAGAGTTTAGTTTTTCATTTATCGACAACTTTATAACGTTATCTATGTAAATAAAATTAGTGTCTGTCTGTGATTTTGAAAAAACTGCTTCAAAATAAGCTCAGAGGGTTATTCGCATGCTGTTTAAATGTACATGACTATTTTTAGAATTTTTGTCGGTCTGCCTGTCCGGGGTAATCTCGGAAACGGCTGAACTGATTTTGATAAAACTTTGCAGACATGAAGAGATGGGTATCAGGAGTAACATTGGCTACTTTTTGTTAAAGGACTATAATCGTTCATACTAATATTTTTTTTTCTATGACATGCAGAATGTGCCTTGCAATTGACGACGTTTTGTAACAAAAATAACTTTTAGTTTATTAGTTTTGTTTTTTTATAAATGATCTATTTTATATCCTAAAATGATATTTAACATTGTTTAATGTTCATAATATATAGTCAATTTTGTAATTATCTTTTTAGTAAGGAAAGATCTTTACTTAGACAAATAAAAGTAATAGGAACTATTTTCTTACTGTAGGCATCAGTCGATATAAATACACATATGTCTCTTCAGAGATCATGGCAAAATAGTTACACAAACTTTAAAAATTAGAAATATGAAAAAATATTTAATTTTAGAAATTCGTATTATGACAGTAATTTCTGAATAAAAACTTTGGAAATATATGGAACAGTACATTATGTGTTTGAATTGAATGTTCGTTCATTATATAGAAATCAATTTTATTGGAATGAAATTTCAAAGAGATTATCTCTTGAGTCACATTATTACGTTTCAAATTTACGTTGAATTTTGAAATTGGATTAAGTAGTTTTTCTCGATATTTTTTCTTTTATAGTCAATGTAACCAATAATTAATCGATTATTATAAAATTATCATCATTATAGAATACATTCAGTACTTATTACAACACACATTAGAAAACAATGAAATAAATGTTATGATAAAAAATTTTAAATAATAATTTACTGCTAATAATAATGATAAAAGATAATAATTATTCACGATTTAAAAATAATATTATTTAATCACATCTGGAAATTTCTGATTTGTTCGGTTTTCCTGGATCTTTTATATCAACATCAAAGAGGTAAGAATCTGAATGTTTTTACTGAACGCATAGCCAACCCTTATCTTCCCTTCTTGAAGCCTTTGCTGATCACAGATTATTCTCTAACATTTATAAGTAATTCCACAGCTCATTTTAACAACTCAGTTATACAATTAATTCTCAGTATAAGTACTCTTTATTTTCAGTACTTATTTAACTTTTTTTCTAGTTTACAGCGTTAAAATATAAATCTAAGTGGTTTCCTTCCACTTCTTTTTGTTGAACTCTATTAAATTAACTTTTAAAACAATTTAAAAACACATATGTGTTTATACGTGAAAATGTGAATTCCATTTGTAAATCTCTCTCAATCTTTAAACTCATTATATCAAAAGAAAAGCAAAATATTAGTTCTCTCCAGTGGTCCGAGTGCAACCCGAAAGGTCCACTACTAATTTCCCAGTGGAAAGAATGATAAAATTTAGCTAGCTCACCATTTCTTTCAGTTTTTTGATTCTGCATAACAAATGGCTTGACCGATTTTGCTGAAATTCTAAACAGTTCTAAGTTGCATAATTACGTATCAGATGCAATTGGTCCCACATCAATATTATTTTTTATACTCGCGATAATTGAGGCGAAAAATAATTCCGAACGTACATACAAATACAGACATCCACTCAACAATTATTGTATTCGACTCTGGGGACCATGAAACGTGGAGATTGTCGAAATTCGGGATTCAAAAAATCGAACCCATTACAATAACTTCCCACTGGCAAGTTAATTAATGTTTCATTCAAATAACACTATTACAAAAGTAAAGAATGAAGTATAATGAATAATAAATTTTCAATAATATTACTAGTTTTTCAGATTGGTAAAGGTATGAAATTTTTTCCTATTAAAATAAACCCTTTTCAATTGAGTATATTTTACGAACTTTATTAATTTAAATTGCGATGTTAATCTAATTTCTATCTGAGTTTCTCATTTCCTCGGCTAAGTAAAGAAGAAATTTTTCTTAGTGAATTTAACAACTTTGATATTTTGTCTCAGAATTTTTCGAATGATACACTTGTAATTATGATTTCTTTTTGGAAAAATTTACTCATTTAAAATTTTCATCTTTTAATTAAACTCTATTATGATTATTATTTGTTTTTTTTTAATTTTTTAATCGGTATCCTACTCACTCTTAATAGTATTTAGTATAAATTAATTGTCTTTAAAATTTATTTTATAAAAAAAAAGCATTGTTAAACAATGTTTTCTATCCAAGTGTCGAGCTTTAATACATCTCTGAATGTACAAATGCACTCATCAATATTACTTAATGTTTTTTAATTGGCCTCAGAAATTATTAGTATCATTTCGTTTGTGGTGAAAAAAAAAAAAAAATCAGTAAATTCATCGATAACTTTGTTTTCATTGATCGACACTTGTTTAATGAAACTTGTAGGAGACCACTTATATATTGTTAAAGATTCTATAACCTAACAGAAATTTTAAAGTCGATACTTCATATTTAGAACATAAAAATATGTAGAGATAATAAATTTTATGGGCAAATAAGAAACAATAAATTTTATTATTTGATAATTTGGTATATTCATTAACAATCCTAACCATTTTTGTAATAATTGTAGTGTTAGACAATTGAGTATTGCGTCATATGCAGTAAATATTCTAGTGTAAATACGATTTTTACTTTCATCTATTTTTATATTCTATTTAATAATTAATGTGAAATGACACTTATTACCATCTAAAGTATACCGCTGATGAGTTTTTTATAGAGTTACAACTCTGAATTAATGTCATGTTGGTACGTATTTTTTAATACTTATTTTCAAATAATTTACTGATGAATAGTACGTTGTAACCGTTGACAAAACTTGATAATCGTAAAAAGTACATTCAAAAATTATTAAATTAATGACATTATAATCAGCTTCACATCTAGTATGTAATATTTGAATATACAACGTCAATTATATCAACGATTCACTTGTGATATATCAACTTGAGTCACATGAATCGATCTGTCATGTTTCTCTTATTTGGAATGAACTGGAACAATGAAATGTGGACCGTATAAGAATACACTAAGGTTGGAGGCGCTTCATTTTGCGCGGAACTTTTAAAAAGCCTCGAGTCCAACACAAATATTTTCTGAAAGAGACGAATATATTTTTGCACAATAAATAAGTACATATCAATGATAAGTTAAGATAGAAAATAAGAGAATGCTGGTTTTTATTAATTATCCGAATCAAATCAAAATCATAGATTTTCATTCATCATTACCAACAAGTTTAGATCAAAAGTAGATCAGGTTTATTTTTAATTATGTTAAATTTTGAAAGACAAACATTTAAAATTGCACAAAAATTTTAAATAATTTCAAAATCTTTATGACTAGATGAATATATGGACACTACTTAGGAAATACATTGACTGACAAAATTATCAAAAAATAAAACTTAAAATTCAATATCTTTGTTACACACGGGGAGAAAATAATTGCAAATTTTATTCTAGTACATGGTAGTCTCTTGCATCGAATGGCAAAATGAAAATAAATAATTTTTTAATTTAGATATATTACAATTGAACCTGTCATGAGTCAATTATTTAAAACTTTTTAGAATCAACAAAAATACGATGTGAAACACCTCAATGAATAAAATGATGCAGTTTTTTTTTCTTTTTACGAATGAATGTCTCTTTTCAGATGACAGATTCATTTCGTCCTTGTAAAAATCCAAATTAAAAAGTTACTTATTGCCATCTTCACTTGAAGTGATAGACTATTACGTAGCAGAGTAATGGTGACAACTGTTTTCTGTCTGTGCATGACAATAAAGATATTGACTTTTTTTATTATTCATCAATTATCAAACTACGGTTAACGCTTTTAATTTTTATTACTATCTATCAGCATAAAAATCTTTATTCGTCTACACATTTTTTTATCATTATTCAAAAACAAAAAAAAGTCTAATAAATTTATTTTGAAATCTAAAAGCCTGTATTTCTTCACTGACGCTGATTCATCCTTTAGATATTACATGCATACAATTATTTAAAAAGGATAATAAATATTCTCAAAGATTGAATAACTTTTAAGAATTCATCTATGATTTTTGAACTAATTACATAAATTTTCTACTGCAATGACAACGAAATATTTACTGAAAAATTTTATGGTTTTGTAATTCTAACATTTCGTGTTTAAATCGATAATCAGTCCAAGAGCAGTATGAAAAGTCCCCATGCTGGTATGTATTAATTTTAAAAGGTTAAAAAAATTGTTTGATCATGGTGTCTCGTAGAGATTAACGAGAAAAGAGCGGTTGTACCAAATGTCATTGTTGGGAAGTGATTTTTACTATTGTTTCCAAAAATTGATAAAAATTAAAAAAAATTTTCAGGAAAAATCACTAAGCATCAACGGTCACTTGGTGTGTTAACCTTTTAAAAAAAAAATATATCCCCTGCATCATGTTGTTTATAAAAAAAAATTAAAAGATAGGATTAGTGAGAAAAATTATTAAGTAATATATTAATGAAAAAAAAAATCTATTAAATTCTTTTTTTTTCAGCAAGGCGGAAAAAAAATTTTTTTTAAAAATGAGATGGCCATTTTGTAGAGTGGGAAAGATCCTATCCACTCCTAAAGTAGCAATAAAATCTCCAAAGATCGTTCAAAAGTACAGATGCGCAAAGTTGACAAAAAAGGCGTTCACAACAGTGTAAACAATTAAAAAAATAATTTTTTTTTTTAGGTTCAACGAGAAAATGTTCAGAAAATGATTATGAACATTCTATAATTTTGTGAAATTTTGGAAATTAAAATTAATATTTTTTTTAAATTAATTAATTAAAAAGGCGCTCAGCGATATATTTTGCCACAACGCCCCAAATGGTCAATTTTGGTGCGCGCGTTCAGAGCACTGCACTTTTTTACCTGTAACACGTAAATATATGCTCTATAAAAGCTATAAGTAGCAGACGGAGTCCCATCAGATACATATTTTTCCACGATTGTCGCAGAAATTTTATAAAATTAATTTGGATTAACGATAATAACGCTTATGAATAAATAGTTAAAATGTAATCGTTACTCACTGAAGTAATTAAGTGTTTCCCGGATCTGGTCCGATGACAATTTTAATTCTTTTCCTTCAAGCTGAAGCGCTGGAGATGGAATAAACCAATCAGCGTTTTCGTAACCTAAAAAAGATATAATAAAATAATGTTTGGATATTTGAAAAAAAATGATGAAAATATTGATACACAAAATCAACAGAATAATTGAATAACTTATAGTTTGGAGGCGTAGCTCAATGGTTATATGGAAAATTGATAAAATTTAGATAAAAAAAAATAAAGTAACAAAATGTATAAAATTAAAGTTTAAAATTTAAAATTATGCTAACTGACCTTGAAATTCAGTGAGAGTGTCAGCACGAAGACGATATCTTGGTATCTGTTCTTGAAGTAAACTGATTATTTCCACCTCTGGAAGCTCCCCACCACTGCATACCTCTAAAACAGTAGCCAAGTATCCTAGTCAATAAATCAAAATATCAACTCCGTTTTTATTATTAAATTAAGAAAAACTTTTAATTTTAAATTTTGTATACTTTAAATATAACTAATTATTTATTAATAATGCAAAAATAATTCAACAGACAATCTATTCACAATTTTAGAATCACGAATCTAAATTGAATGATGCAGAGTAGAAAAAATTTTCATCCACATCAATAATTATGTTATCTGTTTCACTTCAAACTTCGCTTTGAGTTTCTTCAATGACTTCTTATAGATGGGAGATTTTAATTTATAATTCCTATAGCCGTATGTAATTTCCGAAAATTACAAGTAAGAGGAATCGTATTGTATTTCTGATGACTTTGTAGATTGTACACAGATCTTTTTTTTAAAAAAAAAAAATATGCTTTTGAAACTGGGAATCAACTCCAAATTTTCTTGCATTGGGCACTAGACAGTCTGCTATTTAGATTATTTCATACAAGTGGATCATTTTGTTAACGTAGTATCATTCGTCATTTCGTGAATTTCTTCCCGTCTTTACTCTACAATTTCTTCATAATTAAAAATTAAATTTTCTCTCATTAACCCTTCAGAACTCTCACTCAAAAACTGATATATATATATATATATATTACTCTCGTGATTTGAAAAAGTCTTATATCTAAATAACATGTGAAACTGAATGATAAGAAGATATAAAAATTTCCTAGGGCTCACTTTATTTGAAATTATTCACTATTTTAAGATAGAAAAGAGGTTTATTCATCACGATATATGTTTTATAGATTAACACGTTATTTAGATATGAGACTTTTTTTCATAGCGAGAATTCTAAAGGTTAAATAATTTTCGATACTTGAGTTGAGAAAATTGAAGTTTTAGTTGTATATTATTACATTTTTATTTTTTTCCAATTTGTAAAAAATAATTAAGTAAATTTCAATTAATCATTATTAATAAACATTAAATCTGGTTTATAGTAATTGAATTTTATTTTCAGCAACAGAACATCATGAATAAAAATTGACACTAATAATGAAAAAGAAACATTATGAATAAGCAACTAAAGACGATTTTTTCTGATTTTTGTTTTTTTTTGTTCTAATCATCATGAAAAAGTATTTGTTAAACTAAGTTTTATTATCTGTGGGCATATTTTTCAATATAAATGTTTGATCATTATCTCCTTTGTTGATTATATAACGGGGACATAATAATATAGACTTCAATGGTAAAGTTTACAAAATGCCTCATTTTTATGAATGGTTATACATATCTATATAGTGAGTATAAACATCCACAAATCGATTTAAAAAATGATATCATACATTCACACTTTACAGACATCATAGGTATTTAGGACTATTTTAAAATAAATGTATAAAGAGTTGTTGTATCTGTATGCGAACTTCTAAATATAACTTTTACAAATTGGCAAATGGTGGAGTAGGCTTGTCACTGGCTAAGAAAAATTTCGTGATTTTGTAAGCTTAATAATTATTATTTTAAGTCATGGGATGGCTTACATGGGATACATAAAAAATTATGAAACTTATTCACGTCAATAATTTTTCCTTGTTACTCTCACTCTTTTTAAAAATGAATATCAAACTATGTAAAATTCTATAGTTATTGATGCATTTCTTTTTTTATCTCAATTTTATTGATTATTTATTAATGAAAAAATTTTTCTGGGACAAGTATTTAAGATACTTTTATGTATATCGAGATTGAATAATTTGTGGCAGTTGCTGTATAAAAAATATCAGGAATTAATAAGTAAAATTTTATTGTAACTTTATTTTCATTTGTAATGACTTGAATACTATAATTTTTTTTGAGTTGTTTTACCTTTTTTCCATTTATGTAATATAAAATTTTTTTCTTTCGAAAAATTTTTAAGTTTAGCAGGACTTTTTGGTTTATTATAATTTTCTGCAGTTTCTGAAAACATTGCACATTTTTCACTTTGTCCTCGGTCGATTGATCATAAAATTTTCACATTCCATATTAATAGATTTCACTTTATGGTGTTAATATTACTTTAAATTTTATAGTCTTTTTAACTTTCAATTTGTGATTATTTGAATACTTTAGTGATAAGACTATAAAGTCTATCACTGTAATGTTTTACTTAAATTAATGTCACTTTTTTTTATTCAAAAAATATACACAGAAGTATTAGTAATCTACACAAGTGATTGTGCAAATAAAAATAAAATTAAAAAAATGTCAAGCATACAAATTAAAAATTTATTAATCCTACATTCAGATCACTTTAACATTATTTTTTTGTTGAAAAACAGATATCAAACAATTGCTGTGCAACTGTTGTACATTTTCTGAAGCTCATTGCACAGGCTAATGAGTTAGAAGGTAGAAATAGACATGATGATTGGATTAAAGCCAGTTACAAAAGTCTTTCATTCTTCGTTGACCAAATGAGTTTAAGGATCTTTTGAATATTTTTATTTGTGATATAGTTTAATAACTTTTTTTTATTTAATTTCATAAATAATCATTATATTAACTTCCCAGTGGGAAGTTATAGTAATGAGTTTGATTTTGCGAATCCTGAATTTTGACATATTTCCAAATCTCTATCAAGTTCTACCAGCTTTTCTAAACATCTCAGTTTCGGTTTTTTGGATATTCACAGTTAATTTGTTCGCATCACAGTACTATTCTAAAGTATTCAATACGTGTTCAATGGTCACAACTTGCCACTCTTCTTGTTTAGAGCTGTTGTAGCTCTAGTATTGAGAACAAAAATATTATCCTCCCAGGATCTATGAGGTTTGAAGCTAACTTGGCCTTTTGGCAGCACCTTTATTGCCTCGTACCATGCTGATATTTGATTGGTCAGTAGTGAAATGAAAATTTAAATGTTCATGTTTGCCAGCACTATTCCTCGGTATTTGAGAGGGTTTAGGGCATTACCCTTTCTATGGAACATTGCAACTTCAGTTTTTGCCTAATCTATGGGCATTACTTCACTGCTAAACGTTTGGTTAAATAGTGCCGTGAGTTCTTCAATCCAGCTATTTGGAAGAGCTTTCTAAAAGTTTATGTTGAAGCCATCAGATCTCAGACTTTTATATCATTTAGCACGACTTATTGTACGCCAGACTTCCTCTGAGGTTATGTCTATATCTAATGTTGGATGACGAGCATCCAGGTAGGGAGGTGTTGCCAAGTCTTGATTAGGTATGATTGTCAAGTAAAACTCCTCCCATGCACTAGGCAAAATAGGGCACTTTTTCTTTCTTTTCCCTGCGTACTTCTTGATAATTCTCAAAAATCTCAAAAATTTTAGTCATATTTAAAAATTTTATCTTCACGATCTTAGTGAATGGGCTCTGTATGTTAAACTAGCGAGAGCGTAATGACATTTATACTAAAATACAGAAAATATTTAAAGTGATAATGTACCTGAGGATTTCTAGATAAGGATTGAAACGAGTTAATAATCCGTAAAAATTTGTTGAAATCAGACCTTCAAGAGCTTCTTCTGTACACATATTGGTAGAAGTTTTGTGATATCAACAATACTACAAAATAGTTACGAATAACATTGAATTTGAGTTTACTTAATTTTTTTAAGTCACATAAATAATACAGCTATTTCTTATTAGAACAATTTATGTGAATGACAGAAATATTTTGTCGTGAAATAGCATAAAAAATTTAATTTATTTATACGATCAGATTCTGCGATTAACCTTCCTTTTAAAGCGTTTAAATTCATAACATATTCATAAACAAAAGGACCTACTTTCTTTGAAATGAAATCATCATATTTGTTCTTATTTCACGAAAAGTAACTCGTATTTTCAATCATGTGGAAAAAATTATTAATATTACTGTAAAATAAAAAAAGTTTTTGATTCATTATCGGCATAAAGATTACTGGTCATTGCAAAATAAATACTACATGTTGATAAATTCATCTGATCGTTACTTCCCTAATTTTATAAACATTTATGTAGACCTTTTTTTTAATCTACATATAAAGTAACAGAATAGTCATGCAGATTATAATTATGATGACAATTTTTTGTAATTTTAATAATGTAACTATACTTTACGATTTGTATGAAGGTGGTTCTATATCTGTTAAGTCAAAAATTTTATACATTGTTTTAGTATCATCATTATTTTAAACCTAATATATATAAAATTAAAAAATTAACAAAACTAATGAATATACATGTTCTAGAATGTAATGGAATTCATCTTTTACAATAAAGTTTAACAAAATTTTTTTTGTTAGAAATGTAAAAGAAATTTTACTGTGCAGGTTGACTAGTTCTACTTGCTTGTCTACTGATTATTGTTAAAATTGAGTCATTGATTTTTTGCATTTTTCTCTATATATTTATTAAGTAACAAAAATAGCATATTCTGTATGTACTAACTATTATTTGCAAAAGGCTTCATGTAGATAATTAAGAAGTTATTGCAAAAGTTGAAATTTTTCTTTGTTAACTATTAAAGTTCATTCACCTGTAATAGTCTCCGCGTCCCGAGTATTAATCAAATTGGCCAATTTGTTGTTAGAATTTTTCAGCGTCAATAAAGTTGCTCTTGCCATTGAAGAAAGTCTCAGGGAAGCGGCTGACGGCCGGGCTGTTTCCTCGGGCCTTTTTGGACCCACATCTTTCACGTCAGCCAGTTTGAATGCTGTGGCGACGAGTAAGATCGTCTCACCTTACTAGAAATATTTAAAGTGAATTATTATCTACCTACATGTATAAAAAACTTTAAAAGCAATAATTTAACACTTGTGTAAAGCTATTCATTCAATATGTAAAGCTTTTATCTGAAACATATAAATTCAAAAAAAAATACAATTTATATACAAAAAATGAATATTAATGAATTGAAATAAAACCTTTAATTTTCAAACCTTACTAAATGAATATCTAAGTATGTTTCACATGTATTTTAACTTCACTATCAGTGGAATTGATTTACATGATAATGTTCTTCATTTTGTTCATAGACAATATTATTAATTTCAATAAATTTTTTTTACGATTTTATATTTACTGTAATTGCAATCATAGTAATATTATCATCTGGAAAGTTCAACCATCTCAATAGATTAATACAGCATCCATTTTTTCTGAACTATATATAAAATATAAATCATGGTTTTTTTTAAATTTATATCTTCATTCTAATATTTTCAATTCTAATTAATTCTAAATTCAATAATAATAGGCAGATAGTAAAGAAATAGTTTATTTTTAATGTTATATATTACATAAAACATAAAAGATTCGATATAAATAAATAATTTGATTAATTATAATACCAAATAATGATATCTAAACAATGAAACTTTCTAACATAGACAATTTACAATTCTATGACTTATTGTAACAAAGTTTCTTTAAAGTATTACCTTCAATGGTGATATTAATATTCTGGATTTTTTATTTAACAAAAAACGTTAATTATCTTCATTGGATGCCTGTTGAAAAAAATATTTATATTATTATTTTTGTTGATAATAATTATTAAATAGTATATTATAACTTAATGATTGATTATAACAATTTTTTTTCAAATGTGACATTTTATCAATACGTTAATTTTTCACACAGTAATTGACATTTAAAGAGAAATTTTTCATAATATTAATAATTGCGAACTTTTTAAATATGAAATTGTATTATAAATAAATCATTTTAATAATTAACAGAATAAAACATTTTCTATTTAATTTGGTAAATTATCAGCTTTTTACAAAGATAAGGTTTTTATGAAAATTCGGGAATAAATTACAGCTCGGAGTATAAAACTCATGGTCGGATGGTGATTCAAAAATATCGATCGACTTTGCATCGACTCAGTTACAAAATTAGGTTGAACAATATACTCAACGAAACCAATGCAATTTTAGTTTTTATAGAGTATACACTATTTGATAAAAACTTATGCTTTAAAAATGTTTTAAAAAAGCTGTTGACACTAAAAACAATATTTTATAATCATTTATCCATTATTGATTACTTTACCTGAATTTTTTGCATTACTTACTGAAATATCAATTCTATCACGTATTCGTAATGGATAGAAAAGTTTTTACAGTTCGATAAAATTCATTGAACATTACTTGGTTCATACAGAGATCTTTTTCACAAAATCACTTATATTAAGCACATTGAATCATTTTTATATGTACATTCTTTCTTCACTTCCGCATGTATTGTGGCATATTCGATAAAAGTAAAAATTAATCAGTCGTTCACATTTTGTAGCATATCAAATTAGTTCTCAGCGAAGACTGCAAATTTCGAGTATTTACATTCACAAATTTAGTTTTTTATTTATAATTATTAAAGAACATGCCAAATGCATTTTAAAAGAGACACAGTTGTACGAAATGATGAAGGACTCAGCAAGTTAAAATTTATGGTTAAAGTATTGACATGGTTCATTTTGATGAGTTTTATGCTCTCATGGTAGACAAAATGGCAGCCGATTCTTGCAACGCTAACTATAGTCGAATAGAACGAAGCTTTTTGTCTATCGTCAGAGAACTTCTATACTGGTCTGTCTTATCTGCATTAACCTTGCACTGCAATTTTGACAATTGTAGATATATCTATAGCGCGATAGTGCATAATGGCGATAATTTTCATTAAAACGAAAATTAATCCACCAAATTTTAATAATTTTTTTCGCGATAACTATCAATTTGCGAATATAAGTTCCTATATCAGATCGTTTTCATTTATTTTCTTATATATTATATATCCGGCTTCGCTAAAGCAAAGTAACTTATATATAAGTTACAGAACACTCTGTATACAGAAAAATTATTTTGGCGCGTGCGTACAAATTATTTCTGAGCTTGTTCACAACTTAAAATAATTAATTTCTCAAATACAATAATTTTCTGTATAACAATTTTTGATAACTAATAACTTAAAATAATTTGAAAAAATAACAAATGTAATAAACATAATAATTGGAAAAAAAATTTCTCGTATAACCTCCAAGTCTACAATGACAAGTCTAGATGATAATATTTTTGATTCTATCCTATTTGGTGAAAACTAAATTTGTGATAATTAAACAATAATACAAATCATTTACTGTTTTCGTCGTTTATAAAAAAAATGTAATTGAATATGAAATGACTTGTTGTATGAGTTCAGTTGTAAACATGTATAATATTTCCCTATCAAGTTTTATGAAACAAACATTTTATTTGCTTTTAAAAAATATTTTCTTGTTTCATAATATTGTTTTTATCATAATTTGTTAAAGTTGAAAATTAGAGACAAGACTTAATTTGTCACATAAAGTGTCAAAGGCACACTACTGTAAGTTAAACGCATGTTTAACATAACCAAGATGAATCCAATTTGTTTCTAAGATTTAGTTTGTTATTAGCAGGATATACATTTTTAATTATTTTTCGAAGATTTATCCACATAAAAATTGGGGTATTTATCAAGATGTTGGCATCTAGTTCTAATAAAAGACCATTTACTGTTTGTGTTGAAGGAAATATTGCGAGCGGAAAATCAACATTTTTGGAAAACTTTAAACAATTTAATGATATTATGGTATTACATGAACCTGTTTCGTTTTGGCGTGATATTAATGGTATTAATCTATTCGTAAGTATGAAATTAAAAGATAAAGTGAAGTTTATAGAATATGGATATTTCAAATGTATATATATATATATATATATACAGATGATTATATTACAGAGTTGACAGGAAAAAATATTTAAATATTTTTTATTTCCAGAATCTTATGTACAAACATCCTGAACGTTACGGTTGTGTTTTTCAATCTTATGTACAACTTACGTTTCTTGAACTTCACACACAACCAACATCTCTGCCTTTTAAAATAATGGAACGCTCAATGTACAGTGCTAGATGCTTTATAGAAAATATGACACGAATCAATAAAATTGAAAAAATCGAAGCATTAGTACTAGAAAAATGGTTTGAATGGTGCCTGAAAAATCATTGTATTGATCTCGATTTGATAGGTATTTTCTGTGAATAAAAACATTTTTATTCAACTCGGCAATAAAATTAAATACTATAGCTTTATGTTCTGTAATAATAGACTGAATTAATAATAATATTTCTTATTAAAAAACATAATGATTCCAGTTTATCTTCGAACATCACCAGAAACTGTCTACGAAAGAATGAAAAAGCGTGCCAGAAAAGAAGAAAAGAGCGTGTCGCTAGAATATTTAAAGAAGATTCACAATATTCATGAAGATTGGCTGCTTCATCGTACTCTATTTTCTGTTCCAGCTCCGGTTATTATCTTAAATGCTGATCAAAATTTCGATGAAATGCTAATTGAATTTCAACGATGCAAAAGTAATATTTATTCGAAACATTTAAATTGAATACTCAGTTAAAAACTGTACAAAAGAAGTAAAACGATAAGACAATGTTAAAAATTTTGATGAACCTAAGATATTATTAATTAACGAAATAACGATCAAGAACTGATTCTCCGAATCCGGAAACGATATTTTTTGATGTTCAGATTGATTGTAATATTTTTATAAAATCATAAATTTGTTTTTATACATTTTTGTAATTTGTTTACCAGTGTATTTAGTATTACATCATTTGCATTTTTTTTATCAACAGTTATACTTCTATAGTCACTGCTCAGTGAACATTTACGAAAAAAGTAGTTGCAATAAAAATATCTAATTCACTGTAAAAAATATCAAACATTAATCAGAAGAATGAAATTTATTGAAATTAGTAGCATGTAACATCAACAATATTTGTTTTTACTTTGAGATTGGACACTTCCAAAGGATGACATTTTTACGATACATTCATGATACTTTGCTCCAATATGTTTTACTGATAATATTACATACATACATCAGCAATGTAATAGTAGTTACTGTTATTCATTTATTAAAATGCAATTGTACTTATGCTTATTAAAGACAAATATAATGACAATTCTGTTAAATTCAAATATTCCTACGGAAACAATTTTTTTATTACTATTAACATTGTATTTTCTCTTACTTGGTAAGTGTATAAACATTGTTGTCAATGGGATATAATTTATTTACACTGTTATACGTTGTAATAACTAGTAATACAATCGAAAATGTTAAATTCTTAGTGTTTTGTCAATTAAAATTTTCTTAAAATTCAACTGCTATTTGTAAAAATATTGATATAATTTCTATACAATTTGTATACGTCCTTATTCTTTGAATTCAAAAATTTTTGCATAAATGTTTCTCATACTGATTTTTTATACCGGAAATACCAAGTTACTAAGCATGCGCACATTTGTCCCATATAATGGTGAATAACGTAAAATGCTTCAAATAAAATGAAAACGTACTTACAACTCATTTTTATAAAGTGTAATTGCATTTGAGTAATAATAATTTTAGAAGCTGGTAAATTGAATATTAAAACTACCGAAGGCAAACCTATAATGTTTTGACTAGTGAATTTTGATGTTTCTACATTGCCTGTCCGGATATCGATTGTCATTATTTATATCGTACGTTTCCTTTTCAGTCATCGATTCACTCTTTACATACATTTTACATTTTTACAGTAATGAGAAAGATAAGTTTAGTTAGTGTTACAATAATATAAAAAAATCCAACGAGGTGGTACGAGTGTAAAATTGAAAGTTCCATTGAGTTGTGGAAGGTGGGCCTAGTTAAGAAAAAAAAAAACTATTACATATAATTAAGTGCTGAGAATATCCTCGTACAGAAGGTAAAGAGAATCTGAGTAATAAAGTGACAACGGAGACGACGTCCAAGAATCGGTGGGATTTGAGCGGGCGTGCGGGAGAGAAATGACGGATAGTCAGCAGCAGTTTTGCTTGCGGTGGAATAACTTTCAGGCAAATATTACAAGTCAATTTGAAGCATTACGTGATGACGAAGATTTTGTGGACGTCACCTTTGCCTGTGATGGAAGGAGACTCCAGGCACATAAAGTTGTGCTTTCAGCTTGCAGCCCATACTTCAAGGAGTTGTTCAAGGTTAGAAATCAATCAGTTTTCCCCTTGCGACCTCTCGCTCTCTGTTTCTTAAATTCCCCTTACTTCTTTTACCCCTTTACCTTTTTTTGTCCGCAATCATTGTCTCTGTCAGTTCTTATATTCCCTTCTCTCTCTCTCTCTCTCTCACTTAAGATGATAGTTATGTGCATAAAATGTGCACTTTCTGACCTCGAGATGAATAATTTCAAAATATCTTGTCAAATGTGAAACCATTCATTTTATGGAAACTTTTTTTTCAAATATATTTTTTGGTTATTTATAACCTGATAAAATTAAAAGTCATTATAGTTTATAATTGCAATTAAAATTCCAAGTTATATTTGTTATTTGCAAGCTTTGATACAATTTTAATTTGTAAAATAAAAGGAGTAAATAATCAAGATTTTGTAGTCATATTGATATTGATAGGGGTTTCACTGCAGATATTTACTGTTCCGATTGTGTGTAGTATATGTAATTTTAATTTATAACTTTTCCACCATAACGATTTATTTGGTTATGTAATATGTATCTTGGCGAACAAGCAACATATGCTTTTTATAGATAGAAATTTAGTTTCTAGTATAATATAGTAGTAGTATAATTTAACTTGTATAATTCTTTATTTTACAAGCCACATCTATTTTTGATTTTTTTAAATATATCTTTAATTTTTCGTTGGTTGTTTTATTTCAATTCCTATATGATTGATTTTTTACTATAATTCTCAATTTTATATTATTATTACAGACAAATCCATGCAAACATCCAATTATTTTTATGAGAGATGTTGAATTTGAGCATCTTCAATCCTTGTTGGAATTTATGTATGCTGGTGAAGTAAACATTTCTCAAGCTGAACTACCCACTTTTCTACGAACTGCTGAGTCTCTTCAAATTCGTGGACTCACTGATTCTCAAAATAATCAGCACGACAACGAAAAGGTTTATATATATATACATATATATATATATATATATGAACAAACATATATATAATATTTTCATACATTTATGTGTTTCAATACAGTGGATCTAGAAAAATTTCCAATTGAACAAATATTACCTATACGCTTATTAATTAACTTTTTGTGATGTCTAACCGAAAAATTTGAAATTAATAAGTTATTTTATTTTCATTTTTCAAATAAATACTAAAAAATCAAATGATTATCAATAAGTTACAAAATTAATTTTTATTAGAGCAATAATCAGTCAATATCTTAGGGTATCTAATTCATACTCTCAAACATTATTGAGTTTATTTAATAGGTGTTACAGAAATATTTCAATTTGACATGCAATGTTGATAATTCTATTAAATTATTACAGCATTCAAAAACGAATAGTATACATACATCAAATGGGCGCGGCTTAATTTCACCAAATTTTGATGATGAGCGAAGTAGATCTCCACCGGCTTCGAGTCCACCACCTCTCAAAAGGCTGTGTAAAAAAAGTGATTCACCTAAAAACTCTAGTCCAGTTCCCGCAGTGACACCTTGCACAACTACAAGCCCTCGTTCTCGTCCTTTAATTGAACCTCAAGTTCAACTTGATTGTTACAAAGATCTTGATATCGTTGAGGTAAAGTTGAATTTGAATTTCAATTAGAAAAATCATTTAATGTTTTGCATAAGTAATTTTTTTGTCACAATAAGATATAAAATTTATTAAAGTTTAAATTACTTAATTTAATTCTAAGATTTTGTAGAAATAAACGAAAATTTTTTATAAAAAACTAATTTTTTGAATAATCAAAAATAATTACTTTCAAACATATGAATACAATAAAAAAAATATACTATTAATAAAATCTCGTTTTTAGTGTTTCAAAAAAATTATAAATTATCTATAAATAGTGGAAAGTTGATGACGTGAAATCCTAAGTTCATACTTAATCACGGCCTGTTTATTTTCTAGCCTAAAGTCGAGCTACCCGAGTATGGAAGTGATGAAGATTATTCACCAAAACAAGAGGTTAACGCAATACCTGGAGGTTTTATCAGTTTAGATGGGGGTATGGAAGTGTTACCAACTTATCATCCATCTTATCAAGGTATTATTAAAAGATTCATTCACTAGTGAGATTTCAAAATAGAATATAATTTTTTTTATAAAAAATTATAGGAAGCGCAATGGAAGGAGGGATACCAGGACCGTCTCATGGAAATACAGAACCAAATCAGGAGCAAGGTAAGTAATAAAAAATGACTATTAGTAGTGCGAGCACCATTACAAACAGCAACAACCTAGCCATTACCTCACAATTGCTAAAAAACCAATTGAGATTTAACAATATGTGAAACAAGTGAGCTGAAAGCAAAAATAAAAGAGAGAAAAATATAAGAAAAACAGTGGAAGAGAAAGAGAAAAAGAGAAACCGAACAAGAGAGAGAAAGAGTGAAAAAAAGAAAGAGAATTTTATAAATTTATGGTTTGAAATGGTAAGCTCGTGTGTAGTTGGGTAGGTCATAGTAGGTGTTAGGAAAATATTTGACACTCAAGGGTTCTGTGACGGATTTATTAATTAATTTTTAATCGCCGTTAGAGTTAAAGTGAAAGTCCCCAGAGTGCAGTTTAGCAGCTAATCAGCTGCATTGTATGAAAGCTTCTTTGTATCATTTTAGTTATAATTTTTCGTGAAATTTTCATATAATTATAAATTTTTGTAATTCATAACTATCATATTTTCTTGCAATGTACATATTTTTTCAAGAAATTTCAATTATTATCATTAAAAATGCTTTCATCAATTTTATCAATATCATACATATTCGCTTTGTTAAATTTTGTGTTTTGTTTAACCATGTACATTACATTCTTACATGTTTTTTTTATCCCTTTTATAATTCTGAGTTCTTTTAGAGAACATCTCATTGCATTAGAATTCCTACTTACCTGCTTATTATTATTTGTTCACTAATCGAATCTTTTTAAAATTAAAGAATAAAGTAATGAAGTTATTGCGTAATATAAATGATAACTCAAACATGAGCTAGTGACTCTTATGAGCTTATTTTTCATTGTTATAATTTATGTTTGGTTATCAATTCTTATACCGCTGAACTGTATAAAACATTCAATAAAATTTATTCACGAGACTTTCCATTGGATCATAAAAGAGAAAATAAAATTATTGCTGATATGAAGTAAATCTTTTTTTGGTATCATAATGTACCGTCCAGGCAGCAAAAATTGAAGGAACGATATTAATTAGATTTTGTTTTCGTCTTGCTGGTTGTTGCTGTCCTGTGGTGGGTTAATTGAAAAAAGTCATTATTATCGTTGTGTTTAAAATGATAGATATGTATATTTATATACACATATATATTATATATACATGTGTATATAAATATATGTATATAATATATCTATATATATATATATATATGTTTACATAGATATCGATATATTACATATATATAAATATATATCCATAGATTCCTAATAAAGAGTTTATTTAATTCGCGTGGTGGCTATTTGCTGTGGTAAGGTTGCTATGCTGTGGGCTGCTATCCGGTTAGAGCAAGTTGTGTGTGTTGCAGCTGACCTGCGTAAACTGCACTCGTTGGACCCACGCCCCTGTCTTGTGTGCAACCGCATGTACAGTAACTTGTCCAACCTGCGGCAGCACATGCGCCTCATCCACAACCCTCAGAGTGTCACATGCCCTATATGTAGCAAGTCCTTCAAGACCAAGCTGTACCTCAAACGTCATCTGGTCAGTTTTCACGACGTCAACCCTACAGATCGTCGATTACAAGAGGAAATCTATCAACATCAGATTAAAGTTCAAATACAAGAACAGGCAGTACCGCAACAACAACAACAACAACAACAACAACAACAACAACAACAACAACAACAACAGACACATGGACAAATTCAAAATGATGTAGATTCTTGTGGATCCTTACAGTGTGTTCAGCAAACTCTAACACAGGTTGACGGTAACCAAGTTGTTTCAACACCTTCGTTGCAAAAACAAAAACATAGTAGTAATCTTGATGATGCTACAAATGATGGAGGTAGCGGAGAAGAGAAACTTCGGGCTTTTCATGCTCATGTGGGTGATAGCGCTTATCCTGTCGAGGTAGTTCAAATAACAGACTCTAAAAATTTCACCAGTGGTATGCTACAATTTAACGCATCGTACTAAAAATATCGAAAGTTCTTTTTCATTATTTCCATTTATAAATATCATTTTTTAAACATTTTTAGTACATATTAAAATTTAGTACCCTTTTTTTTCATTTACACCAAAGTCATTTAGAAATTTATTATTTTCTTATTTTGAATTAAATCAAATTATTAATTTACAGTTAAAAATTTTCAAATCTACAGTATGCTAATATTATTTTTTTTTATATTACTGAAATATAAAATTATACTTTATTAATATATTTATTATTACAATAATTCAAAAAGCATCTAAATAGCTTTGGTGTTTTGGATAAAAGATACAGACGTAATTTTACAAGTTTTAGGTTACACTCATTAATTTCATTGTTTCTTTTTAAATAAATCGCCTAGTATATAATTTGTGATAGTAAAAGTGAGGCGAAAATAGTTATTTTTTAGCAAATTTGTGATTTAATAAGAAACGTATCTTTAATACTTGATTGATGATTTTATACGGTAATTACCAAATAAGGCTGATACTGTGTATTTAAATACGGTCGGGAACCGAGGTATAAAACCTAAATAACAAAAAAAAAACTGAAAAATACAAATAATATGAGCCATGTGCAATTTCAAAATTTTTTCTCCGAGAGTGAAGACAAATAATAGATTAGAGTTGCCGTTATGTGGATATATCATATTCACTGAATTAAACTTTGAATATAGGTGTACATAGAAAACTTTTTCGGCTAAAAAACTGATTTAATTGTACATGTAAGCTCGTATTAGAGATTGACCTATTAATGGTGATCTTTAAATGTCTAAAAAATTAAGGAGAGAAGCGACTAAATGCCGTAGGTGGAGCAGCCATCCCACCTCGTACTGATTATATTTCCGCAGCCAGTTGAAAAAAAAACACATTAACAAAACGTAAAATAGCGCAAAAAAACTTGTTGTTTCATTTGATTGCTATACAGTGTTACACAGACTACAGATATTTACAACAATATTATATTCTTACAGAGAATTATATTTATTTTATAATTATTGCAGCGCAATGTGCAATAAAAAAGCATAACTTAGAGTCATAAATGAAAAAAGTTAAAAAAAGTAATAGTTTAACAAATAAAACAATGAAATATATTTTTCACCATGCACGCCAATTGCAATATACAGCCAACCGACAGCTCAACAAATTAATAATATTTATTATTAAACAGTTATCAGCTACAAACAGTGATTGCATTACAGTGCAACAATTTAATTAAACAGTATATAAATAAGGAAATCATAGTTTTTGCTATTTCTTTCCATTTCGATTACTCTTGTTATTACGCGTTGATTATTAATTTTGCTCAACAATTTTAACTGAGTGATATTTGAGTTGAAAAATTCCCATAGTTATAAATTTTTTTTCCTCAATTCACTCAACTTATACACTGTTTATAAAATATATGGTAAGATTATAATTCTAAACTTAGCTGTGACGAAGTAGTAAAGTTATTATGTTATTCGATGAATGGAGATAAATAGCAAAAACTTATTTCACGCAGTTCCATAGCCATAGTACCACACAGTACAACTCAGGATTTTTTATATTATATTTTACAGATGACAATAGTTCCATAAGTACAATTTTCGAGGCGGAACAAAATCATGGATTTTTAATTTTAATTTCAAATTAATACGTAAAATTAAAATTCCATGACTCCTTCTATAAACTCGAAAGTTGTATCAACTTAACAGGATCCTTACCTCACAACCAATCAAATCGAATCAGATTACAACTATATACTATAATATATTTACATAAAAAACATATACGTTTTACAATAGTGCCGGATAAACAATGTATCTTACAACGACTGTAAGATTCTTGACTTTTAAAATTTTTGTTTCTTTGTTTTTATAATGTTAAAAATTACAAAAAAGTACATTTAAATCAACTGAAAATGCCTATATTGCCGATATTACACAATTATTATCTGTTATTATATTGTAAAGCAATATATTGAATCAAAGATTTTTTTTCATTATTTTGAATAACCTATTAATAGACGTACAAGAATGGTGGAAAATAGCATAAAATAACCTTGGAAAGGAAGGTAATAATTTGATTAAACAATAGAATATTAATTAAACGAGATGCCCAGCAGCATAAAGTGAACAATTAGTATACCGAAATAAGATTAGATTATAAATGTTGCATATCATATTATAATATTGTTATCGATTTTTGTCAAACAATAATGTTTGAAGTACCAAATCTCGGGTGTTTGGATCGTACCCATTGCAAACAATAATTCCGACTAATCAACACTTAAATATCAATGAATAATGACTTGAATGGCAATCATGCAAATTAACTTGATTGGAACTAGAAAACTTTCATTTTTAATCACTTCAGTTTTGTATATTAATACCAGTTTAAGGAATGTACCTATTCCTTTCTTTTAATCCTCCTGAAGTAAAAAGATTTTTCATAGTATCAATAAAACTCATTATGTTTTCTATGGCAATAATTTATATTATTGCCTATGTTCATCTGTATTGTTTTTCATCAACAGTAATGTTTAAAGTTGTAGCTGTAAGAAGAAACTACATTAATAAGTACAATTTATTTAAGACAGAAAGATAAATAGGAGATTAATTTGAATATTTACTCATTAAAAAATTAGACACGATTGAATGGCCTATGCTGAGTAATATTTTAATTGAATCATACTAAGAACATAATAGTTATAATAATAATAATCGTTGGCCGAGCCACGGTTTAAATATTGTGATCAATATTTTTTCACAGATATCGATTATTTACAGATAAACAAATTATTAGTAATTATTAATTGTAAGCAGAGTTTATAAATGATTCTTACAACGTTAACCATTCGATCCAATACTCCCGAGAAATTCATATAATTCATTATTACTACTTATATCAGAAGTGATATCTTACAAATATCACATAGATAATTAACAAATAATAATTATTTCAATAAAACAGGCTGAACTTCGCTGGGCATTAACCACAAACTGGTTACCTACAGTTATACTGATAATGGCTTTTTTTT